CTTCTAGAAGCAGAATGTGACACATTAGTTCCTGCAGCCAACGAAAAACAAATCACCCTTAAAAATTCCCACAACATCAAAGCATTTAAGGTACTCTGTTACTAGTAGTATTAATTTTTATTTATCTAATTTTTGGGCTGTTATTTGGTTGTCAGGTTTTCAGGCTTGGTTGCTCCCTAGTGAGAAAGGTTATTCCAGTTTGTAGGGGAATAGGAATCTATAATAATTCGTCAGGGTTTCCTGACATATTTGGTGATGTTAATTTTCAGTTGACCTTTTAACTCCCATGAGTGACAATGACACAGTTACTCCTTACAATATCAAGAAGACAAGTGATGAGTATGAAGAAAAATTTCAATTAGGGGATTATTAGTTGATCCAATACCAAATTCTCCAAAACTAACATAAGAATTGTACGGTAGACAGTAAGGAGAATTACTAATGAGATCTTGCGTACTCTAGTCAAGTCAAGACTTCTTTATTTGTTAAAAGCAATTATTAGACAATTTCACCTTTACGTGAATAGTAGAAAGTGGAGACTATCAGGTAAGTCTTTTTTTCTTGATTACTCTACTTTGTGTTTTCAGGTTATTGCTGAGGGGGCAAATGGACCGACCACACCTGAGGCAGAGAAAGTTCTGACTGAAAATAAGAAACTTGTTATTCCAGTAAGTTTACAACGAAACAGCAAGTGCAATCTGAAGTAAATTTGGATATGAAGCTCTGACTTGTGTTTGTTTATCGTAATTAATTTTTGCACCAGAGGCATGGTTTGAGCCTAAATGTTTTATATTGTGACCATGTAGGACTTTTATTTGAATGCGGGAGGTGTGACGGTATCCTATTTTGAGTGGCTAAAGAACATCAATCATGTCAGTTTTGGACGTTTGACTTGGAAATACGAGAAGGAGGCAAATTTTAATATTTTAGGTGAGCTTGTCTTTTCACTAAGAATACGTTAAATGATGGATCTTCATCATTCATTTTGTATTGACAGATAAGCAATTTTACAATGAGTTTCAAGTTATTTAAGATAACATTGTCTTCGCCATATGAAATAGTGAAATATTACTGAGAGCATAAATTGCAGTTTCCTTTCAACCTCGAACTCCCATCACGACCAATCTTACCTTTTTTTGAACTGCATAACTTTTTTCTTCTTCTTTACTTCATTAGTTACCAGAGACAGCTCACTCTCCTATGCATTTTTTATTGTTAAACACTTTTGGTGACCTCTTTGTATTGCTTAAAGTCATTATGGGTTTTGAATGTCCCCTTAGATACAAATGTATTGTACAAGTGCTGTTGTTTGATAATCTCTTAGTGTTTCTGCATGTTTGTCTCTTCTTCGACAGGTAGCGTCCAAGAAAGCCTGTATAATCATTTCAAGGAAGCCATTCCAATCAAACCATCGGCTGAGTTCTTGCAAAAGATCGCTGTGAGCATTGCTTTTTATTTTTAGTTTATTAATTCGCACCACAGAGGTGGATCTGGGAAAGTATGCGCCAACTTAATTTACCCTTTTGATCACTTTTTTTTTCATTATCTTGAAGAAAAAAGTTTTTAAACTTTTGTAATCTTCTAGGGTGCGAATGAAAAAGATATTGTTCATTCTGGATTGGAGTTCACCATGGAACGATCAGCTAAGGTATGTCGTCACTGATTCGAGGTTTTCTTCACGAAATCACGTCCATATTTGTCCTTACCTTGGGTGCTGAGCCGTCAAAACAGGGCCCACGTTTGATATTTGGAAAACTGCGTCGAGTATATCACGTCATAACATACTGGTAGCATTCCTGGGAAATTAGTAATAAGTGTAAAACAAATTTCCCTTTTGGTGCGGTAATAATAAGCAGTTATTGGATACGGTTGAGCACTGATGACATTCTACACTTAATGTATGGGCCCGAGGGAAACAGTTTCCTCGAGTCCTTGGGAAAACAAAAGTAACTAATTTCCTGAGGGACCATACATTAAGTGCTTTGATATATATTAAGACTTTCCCTTAAACAATCATGTGCTGTTGTATTCGGTGCGCGGGCAATGACTGTGCAATTGTATTCCGGTCGGGATACATTCGAATTTGATCAGGAGCATGTGACCAAGAATCAACCAATCCCAGTTCTCGTTTTGTTGAGTGAAAGTCAAGGTATATAACAACATGAATTATCAAAACGGAGGTCTGAGTCATCTGCCAGAACCGAAGGCTGAAGTAGATAAAACAAACATGAGGTTTGGTAATTCATGAGATTTTTCAAAAATTTTTAATAACGGTAATGATAACGTTAATGGACCACTCACCTAATTAAAATTTATAGGGCCAATACGAACAAATTGTAAAAAAACTAAGGAATCCGACCAGTTGGCTTTCTATTAAGCGCAGCCAAGAAATTGAACTTTGTCTTTTCTTCTTTTTCTT